AGACTCCAAAGAGAGACTCCTGAACTCGAATTAATATGCAAATTAGACACAATTAACTTAGGTCTAAACAGAGACTGGGAATGGTTGGGTCATTGCACTAATTGAACAGGAGTACTTGTGGCACCTTAGAGACTAACCAATTTATTAGAGCATAAGCTTTTCCCCCCCATGTTAAGTTCTCCTCACACCTTCTATGGGTCATCTCGATTATCACTTCAAAGTTTTTTCTTCTGCTGCTACTGATAGCTCATCTCAATTGATTGGCCTCTTACAATTGGTATGCGTACTTCCACCTTTTCATATTCTCTGTACGTATAAATATCTTCTGTCTGTGTGTTCCACTCTATGCATCTAAAGAAGTGGGCTGTAGCCCATGAAAGCTTATGCTGAAATACATTTGTTAGTCTCTAAGGTGCCACAAGTACTCCTGTTCTTTTTGCGGATACAGACTAACACGGCTGCTACTCTGAAACCTTTACTCAGGATTGTAACCAATGGTAATGCATTATGTAAGAGTAAAGAAAATGGTTTTTCAATTAAGAAAAGACAATTGGATATGGTCTCTACAGCTGACAAACAAGCTAATTGAATAAAAATGTATTTAAAATTAGCAGTTTTGCAAGGATTAATTTGCAAGGATTTGCAAAAATTTCAAAATATCAGTTGTGCCACTGAACAATGAATATATTTTCTCAGTATGGTATTTATAAGTTTGTAAACAATGTGGGAGTCAAGAAGTCTGATAAAAACTTATTACCATCGGTACTAGTAAGTTACACTACTACAAAAAGTTTCTCTCAAAATTCCTGGAAACAACCTCATGTGGTAATATCAGTGGGAATTATTAATGCACCTTCAATATCAATACATCAATAACTTGCATCCAAGTAAATATTTTCATAGTAGATCAAATGTAATTGTGGGTTATAGCATCAACATAAACAAATAAAAGGGAGAACATAAAATTAAAAACCTTCTGAAAACTGCTCAATGCTGCTTTGGGATCATCCTCCTTTAATGCTTTGGAATTGTAGTACTGATTTTCCAGATCCACATTTGGCTCAGAGTTACTATCTTCAGAGTATTCCTACAGTTTAGGAAAAAAAGGAAAAACAAAATGTTATCACTGAAAACTGATATTTTCAATACACTTTCACCAAACTTAGATCTCTGAATACACTGAAACATAAAAACAATCTTGGTTGATATGAAACCTGTCATCTCACTAGAGCATCACTAGAATTCAGCCACCTCTGGGCTGAAGGGAATCAACTTATTAGTACACTGATTTGCGGTGGGATGGGGATGGGGGTGGGACAGAGAGGAAGGGAGAGGATGTGGTTAGAAACTCTGGCTAAGGCAAACTGCAATTCTTCTAAAAGGTGCTATAAGATTCTTATTGTCCATGCACAAGACACTGCATGAGTTGCTGTCCACGGAGAGTAGAATGATTCAGCAATGGAAGATACAAGAGATCTACGCAAAGGAAACATTCCCATCCTTTCTACATCATGAAAATTCACACCAACACACGGAGAAAAACATTCGGCGTGATGATGACCCCTGCTGTTTCTTTGCTGAGAAGCAGAAAATAATTGGGAGTGTGCAAGAGTTGCAGAAAGGAGGAAGTGAAGGAGTCCAGATGCCGAACAATTTAATCTAAGGAATCACCCATAATGTGCACTGGCAGACACAGAATTTTCTATTTGCTTACTTTTTACACGCTATTCAGTTTTTACTGATGACAATATGCTAAGCAGTTTTACCTTCAGCTTCTTATGCACTAACACAATGCTCATGACAGTTACAAAATCAAACAAAAAAACGGACTTAAAATATTATGCAAACATTTAATTTTATTTTAAATTTGGAATCCAACCTCTCCCAACACAGAGGTTAAATGCTGAGGATAAACTGCTTGACACTGTCCGTTTAAACCCTAATGACAGTCACCAGTACATTGCAGTGAGATGAACAATTCGTTTTTTAAATCCATTTTATTTTATTTGCAAAAATGTTGGACTTCTCTTCCCACACTGTAACTGCCTCAATCCCTTCCCCCATGTTAATTATTTTGTTCACTACCATGTTACCGGTGTTAATGAAGTCCTTCAAAAGAAAGGAGGAGGGAAACAAGGAAAAAAACAGGCAAAAGACAGAAGCTTAATATTTCTATATTCAGCTCTCTTTCCTAGAAATTCCAACTTTCAATGCCTGCCTTTTTAAAAAAAAAACAGACTTCAGAACACTTACAATAAAGTTTTTAAATAGGGAAAGCAGCCACAGGTAAGTTACTAAAACTTACAGCCAGCCCAACTGTTATTAAATGTTTATATATAGCACTGAATAAACCCTTAAATCCAGTTCACTTCTAATAAAAATATTTTTTTCTCCTAATGGGGCCATTGAAATGGATCACAGGGAAGTGTTCGATGTTACCACAGCTAGGTTTGTTTTTCTTCTCACTCAGTGAATGTTATTGCTTTCTGAGTACTATTAGTTTGACAGCACTGGAAAATGAACTGCTCTATTTCTAGATCAAATATAAGGTGTTTCTGTCAACCCAGAAAGCCCTAAATGGCTGGAAGTTCCTGCTTGAGGAACCGCCTCTCTCCTCATGCCATACAGCCACAGTGGAGGCACTTGACCTAGATCCCTCTCAATGCAAAAGAGAAGAACCTCATGGCAGAGCATTCCCTTTGAGAGGCCCTCTGCGCCAGAACAAGCTCCACCTGCCCCAGTCTGTAGTAGTTCTGGTCTTCTGACCTCCACGGCACATTGCAAGATGCATGTATCTGAATAGGCTGCTGCTGAGGATTACATGGGGGAAGGCAATGGAGGGAGGATGTTATGTTTTAAAGGGAGGTAAGTTCTGTTGGCAGTAAACTGCTGCTGAATTTTATTTTTGTAACTAACATCGGGGTGCCTAAAGTTCTGGACAGCCAATCCCTTTTGTTATTGTTAAAAATCCAAATACATATAACCACAGAACAAGTATAGCATGAGTAGCAAATGGCAGGCCAGCGTGTGGTGTGTTCCTCAACCGTGACATACAGGGAACAAACACCACTAAGAGTGGGGACATGTTGGTCTTTGGTATCAACTGTGACAGTGAATTTTGTGATGTGAACACACTGACCAATTTAATCCAAGATGCTCCCTTCACTACATGTAGACCAGCATAATTTCTAGTCCTTACTGACCTGGGTTGGATTTTAATAAGCAACCCAGAACAGAAAGGCTCAGTGTTCTCTTAGCTATTCCTGAGACATCCAGATCTATGATTTGCAATTCATATAGAAATATTATGGCAAATTAAAAAAAATCTACTATTGATAAGGAGAGGAAAGATCAAGTAACCCATTACATATACTGAACAAACTCCTTTACTGACATTAATACATGTTTTCTATTCTATCTAGGTTTTTATACAGCACTCATCATCATAATATCTGAGCAACTTCCAATAGTGCATTAAGCAACTTGACAAGTGTTGCTTGTTCCCAGAAGGAGAAGTATCTTGTTTTGGTAGGGTTTTTAAATTATTATTTTTAATATAAATAAACCTGTTGATATGTGTTTGCTAGAGAAGGCAAGACCAAAGAAATGTGCCTTACATGTGGAGCAAAAAACAGTAAGGGTTGTGATGGTCCTTAGTTCTTGGGAGAGTTAATTCCACAGTCTCACACCATCCCCAGAAAAAGGTCTGTCTCCCACAGACAAGCTTTAATTTGTTGTGGAAGTTCCATTGTGCCAGAGAGCACATTTACATAGGGACTTCAATTTGGGAAAGAGAAGGAGATGAGAAGGAACTTTTCCCTCATCTAAAAGGTTGGGGTTTTTTTTGGTGAAAATCCTGATATACAATTTTATACCAAGAGGTGAATTCAAAATATTGCAATGTGAATTAACCTAGCTACATCCTGTGCAAGAAAACCTCTGCACAGTATGTTCTCCATGTCTCCTGTTGTCGTCTATGAGAAGGGTGTAAATCAGATCCATTAAGGACCCATAAGACTCACCCATGGCTTGTATGTGATATAATTCCAAGCAATAAGCATCTCACCATACCCAGGTCCAGTGAGATTATACAGCTACATAAATTGTCACATAATAGTGGTTTTTAAAAATTTCAATAACTGTGCTAGATAATCTAAAATTTCATTTTAAAATAAATAAAGACTTCAGCCCTCGTAACTGTGAAGAAAACCTAAAAATGTGACGCAAATGTTAATTGATGCCAGAATATCTGCCTCAGTTTTTAGACAACTGGAAACAAAAGCTCAGACGTGCAAATAACTAATGTCGATATAAATGTCAACATTAACAAATGATGATTGTGCTTAATTGATCAGCATTGAAATTGTTAATTTTGGATGTATTGGCAAGTGTTGGGGTAAGGCGTAGTGGAACATCCAGCTGTTCTCAAAAGTTGGGTGGGACATGAGAAATTCAAAACCGCCTCCCCAAATTTAAAAATAACGATGAGATTAATTCCCTTCCCAATGCTAAAAGCAAAGCTCTGTTGGATACCAAAACCCGAAACTCCTCTCTCACACCTCCAATCCCCACCGTGCCCTAACAACTTCTACAATTCAGTTACTTAATATAAAATATAAAATTGAACTGCCCCACATTTAAAGTTCACTACATGAAATAAAAAAATATCTAAATAAACTGCACAACAGTGTATTAATTAGACCGGGCAGAGGTTGGGGAACATCAATCCTATATAATTCTGGAGTTCCTGTTGCATAATTTAGGCCTAATGTCCTGCACAGGACAAAAAGCCTTCACTATAGCTTTAAAATCTTTAAAAATGCTCCTATGTGTCTTCTTTCAGCCAACTGACACCTCAAGGAATAACCTATTGTCCTAAGAAAAATACAAATTCCCAATGACTTAAAAGAACTAATCTTAACTCTTTCAGTACAATAAATAAAATCCAAACCAAAGGGAAATGGTGGTCTGAGCACACACATGCTGATGCTCTCAGACCTGCCCACCCATTCTCCCTTGCTGGGGGGGGGGGGCGAGGGGACCATTTTAACATTGTCTAGCAATCAGAAAAATGCATGCAACAATGGAATTTTTTTTTAAAAAGTTTCATGACATTATTTAAAGGTTGTTCAATCAGACATTTGAATTTTCTGAAGTTAGCCAATTAAAAACAGGTTAAGTTGACCATGTTCCTCTGAAAGAAAGTAGTCTAACCCTATTCATCCTGATGAAAATAAAAGCCCTATTTGGGGATTAGTCTGAGTAGGATGTGGTTCTTTCAAACAGCATTAATTTTATAAGTTAAATTACTATCTATTACTACAAACAGCCATTTTAAGAAAAGATCTTATTAAAGTTAGTGATTAAATTTTCAGAAAATTCATTTCACCTAGTAAACTTGAAAAAGTTAAGCTTCAGCTTCTAAAATTAACAGTGATAGCAAATCTGTGGTGTTTTGGAAGAATGAAGCAGCACATGTATCTAATAAAAATTAAACTTATGCAAAATTTAATTTATATTTTATAAGAACCATGGTTTTACTAATCATTATTTTTTTTTTTTTACAAAACTCCCATTTCTTTCCTCACCTAAAAGCCATTGCTGAAGTTACAGCCTTTACAATCTGTAATTTAATAAGATTTTATTTGGACATATGCATAAAAATTATTTGGTACAAAAGCTATTAATTCTGCATTTTGGCTTTATTGTATATTGTTTTACTTAATGTATATAAAACAGACTCACACTTTATAAAACTTTTTAACAAAAAAAGAAAAAGATGTAGAGCAGTGGTTCTCAAACTAGGGCCGCCGCTTGTTCAGGGAAAGCCCCTGGCAGGCCGGGCTGGTTTGTTTACCTGCCACGTCTGCCGTGGTTCGCCGCTCCAGGCCAATGGGGGCTGCAGGAAGGGCGGCCAGAGGAAGCCACGATCAGGACCTGTTGGACACTGGCCGAGCACTCCTGCTCCTCTGCAATTAACCATGCAGTAGCCAAGCTGTCAGGTACAGCACCACCAGGTTCGGATGCAGAAGACAGCCATGGTTTTGGAACAGCAGGTCCGTCCTGAGTGGTAGCTGTAATGGAGCA